ATCCCTGCCTATATATGCCCAGAAAAAAAAAAAAAAGAAGAAATGACAGCAGTACTGCTTTCTGCATCGTTACATAATAATCTTTGTGATCGGCAGGTGCTGCTAATTCCAAGCTTTTATAATTGATCTTAATTTACTCTTGGCTTCTTATATATAGTATATAGATATAAACCAAATGTTGATTTGCTTCCCCAAATGGCCTATGTAGATCAGTAACATGTATAAAGCAGAGAAGATGGTAGTATCAGTATCTTTTTCGTGTCTAATTTCCCGAACCACGCAAAATTTATCGATGATTTCTAGCCTTTCTTGATGAATTAGTACATCTCACATATCTTGTCAAGTAGAACAACAGATAGATCTCTTGTTATTTCCAGAAAGATTGTTGACATTAATGGTAGTACCTTGAGGAATTCCAGTGGAGGTTGCAGCCTCTTGAGCAGCCAAAGCCTTTTTGCTTATGATATGGTAGATGTCCAATAAGATTGTCTGAAATGCCTTCTCAACATTGAATGCCTCTAGTGCTGACGTTTCGAGGAACGAGAGGCCTTCCCTCTCGGCCAAGACTTGAGCATCTTCGGGCGAGATTGCTCGAAGATGATTGAGATCAGACTTGTTTCCTGCCAGCATAATGACAATGTTGGAGTCTGCGTGATCTCTCAGCTCACGGAGCCACCTCTGGACGTTATCGAATGTTTGTCTTTTCGTTATGTCGTAAACGAGGAGGGCACCAACAGCTCCTCTGTAATATGCGCTGGTGATGGCTCGGTACCTTTCTTGGCCTGCAGTGTCCCATATCTGTGCCTTCACCGTCTTTCCTTCAACCTGAATTCCAGAATTGAACACAATTGTTTCAAATATTTAAGTTTAATAACAAATGATTTAATTGATTATTTATATTTTAATATGTTTTTCTCAATACGAATTTAACATGCTAAAAATTTACTATGCTGAGAACCTAGATCAAGCTTAACGACCAGAATTCAAATGATATATAATTAAATACTAGACATATGTTTTCACATCTGATTGTGAGAATTATTTTAGAAACTTAACAATTTATTGTCTATGCATTGAAAAAATCTCTGATTGAATTCATAATTTTATATACACAATTAACGTAAAATCAAATTATTGCTGTAGATCCTTAATCTCAAGATAAATTCAATTATATAGAAACACATCAAAATTGAGACTAAATATATATATAGAAAAAAAAAAAAACAATTTACCTGGAGAGTTCTTGTTGCAAACTCAACACCGATGGTGGATTTAGATTCCAAACAGAACTCATTTCGAGTAAACCGGGAAAGAATATTGGATTTTCCTACACCCGAATCTCCAATCAATACAATCTTGAAGAGATAATCGTATTCATGATCCACCTTGTATGCCATTTATTATGATCTTCTGTATTTTTTCAGTGGCACCACAAATCTACATGTAAACATCAAATATTCATCACATAATAATTTAAGAACCGAAAAATGAATCTAAAAAATGAGGAGAAAATCCCTTCGTCAAAAAACATATAGAAAAAAATAAATAAATAAATGAAAAGAAGATTTTATCAATTTTTTTTTTGAATTAATAACAATAGAAACCTCTAACTACTAACAATAAATTTGGTTATAATTAATTACCATTTTTTTTTTTTAAAAAAAGAAATTTCTTTCTATGAGTTCATGAAGAGGAAATAAGAGACCAGAAAATATTACTAACCATGAAAAGAAGGTGAATGGTTGAATTGGTG